ATCATTAAGTGTCATATATATATATTAGTCATTTATGGTAATTCCGTAGGTTTTATTTATGGAAATAAAATAAAATAGTAATTATATCTTAGGAAACAATCATTAAGTGTCATATATATATTAGTCATTTATGGTAATTCCGTAGGTTTTATTTATGGAAAGAAAATAGCATATCATATCATTATATCATATAGTTTGAATAACTAATGTATCTAGCAACCTATAAAAATCTAATGTGGACTTACTTATTTTTCAATTGAATCTAATTGACTACCTAATTGAATGACACCTATGCATTGGGACCTCTTTTAATTAATACAAAATTGAGGTTACATCTTTTCAAATGTTCCTCAATTAATATATAGGGGATTATGTAATGTCTTTGCGTTTGGGTTGTAATCTTCGTGGCTGTCATAATAAAATCATTTGTAGTTTATGGTTGGAAGAATAAAATAAAAAATTCTTAATACTGTTGCACATGCATGATCTCAAATATCTCAACTAGCTAGGTTCCTATATTCTTGGAAGTCTTTGTATCAACATCGGCGTTATATAGTCTTGCTATTGTTTTTTTTTTTTTTTTTTTTTGTGTGTGCACCGTCTTGCTATTGTATAGAATCCATGTTTAACCAGTGTTTGGTGAATGCTTGGAGTATGCGGAAACGATAGTGGGTTATTTGAAAGACATTCTATTCATCAATCAGGTGGAGGATATGTTAGATTCGGATTTATTATGGGCTTCCAACTTAAAACCAATTGGTGATTAGTGGACTGGCTCCAACCCTTTATATAGTAGTATTCTTATATTTCCGATATGGGATGTTTCTCATCAATACCCTCCCTCACGCTCATACATCTAGGTCTGGAGCGTGGACAATGTGGGAATAACATCCACAGAGGGCCCAACATCGGTATAATAGTAGTAATTGTAGTAAATTAGGTCAAAAGATTTTTATCGCTCTGATACCATGTTAGATTCGGGTTTATTATGGGCTTCCAACTTAAAACCAATTGGTGATTAGTGGATTGGCTCCAACCCTTTATATAGTAGTAGTTTAATTCTTATATTTCCGATGTGGGATGTTTCTCATCAATAGGATACGAAGAGAGTTTGGTGATGAACAAGAGAAACAGACAATGTTTTCTGCAAGAACAAATAATCAAATATGATAAACCCTAATTCTAGCCGCTCTTGTCTTGTCTGATTTCTAAATATCCCTTTTTCTTGTGCCCTCCTCTTCTTTATCTGACTCTCGCAAACCATCAACTTGCACTGAATCAACTCGGCTGGACCACCAAATTGTAGTGGGCTGGATTATCTTAGACCGAGTTGGTAATGATTTGTGTGTGTGTGTCTCTCTCTCTAACTTTGATCACTCTGATCCTTTTTTCTGGTGAACTCGTTACCGTCAATCAACAAAGAATATCTCGACGTTCGCTTATCCAGTTCTCCTTGTCCAGGTTGGAAAGAGATCATGGCCTTAGTTCGCAAGAATTCTCGCAAAAGGAAGGAAGTCATTGAATCTCCTCATTTGGATCTGGATCTGTTCGGTGTATTGACAAGATGAATAAATAATCTGTATACCAGACTTTAGTTGTGCACCAGACTTGAGAAGAACAAGCTGCCAGACTTGAAGGATTTTAAGGGCTTAGAAAGAGACTTTATAAAGCACCAGACTTGAGAAGAAGCTGCCAGACTTGAGAATAAGTAATAGGAGACAGTTGAGATAGCAAGTGGGGATTTATAGCCGTTATAAAATATCACTATCTACTTTATCATTACTTCTCTTGTTTTGTGTCAGATTGTATGCCTTTAAATATGACTTTGTGTACCCATAATTAATTAAGGAAAACAGATCCTTCTTTTTACTCTCTCTCTCTTAGATTCGAAATTTACAGATGTCTCTCTCTCTCTCTCTCTCTCTCTCTCTCTCTCTTTCACTTGTATTCTTGAACTTGTTCATCATATTTCTTACATGGTATCAGAGCTTTAAGCTCCTGATTACCTCAATTACTTCCGCAAGCTTACCCTGTTCATTATTTTCTCTTGATTCTCTGGTTTTATTTCTCAAATTTCTCTACAAATCCCTGTTACCCAGTGGATAATAGATCTGTGTTCTTGAGTGGTTTCTTCAAATTCCTTCAAATTTCTTGGCTGGGTTCACTCTGTTCTATCTCTATTCTTATTTCTTGAGGGGTTATCTTATCTCTAAACTTGAGTTCTCTCAGTTCCAGAATTAATATCTCTCAAATCTAAAACTTGAGAGAGATGGAGAAGTACATTAAAGTTCACATTCCAGTCACACTCAAGGGACCAGGAAACTATATTACCTGGTCAAGAATGGCCAGGACTGCCCTTGGAGGAAGAGGTCTTTGAGAGCATGTCACTTCAAGTTCAGCTCCCAAGAAAATCACCCAAGGAGAAGATGGCAAGGAAGTTGTAGTGGTAGATGAAGGCAAATGGGTTCAGGAAGATCTCATGGTGTTGTCTATCTTGCAAAGCTCTCTTGATGGTCCTCTGATGGACTCATACTCACACTGTACCACACCAAAACAGTTGTGGGATACCTTACTTAAGGTGTATGGTAACACTTCAAACCTCACCAGAATCTTTGAAGTCAAGCGAGCCATAAACAACCTACAACAAGAAGATGGAGAATTCAGCAAGCACCTTGGGAAGTATGGTCAGCTGTGGTCTGAGCTGGAGATGTTAATACCAAGCACAAATGACCCTGATACACTGGAAGCTAGGTGTGAGCAAGATAAGGTATTTGGACTACTTCTCACTCTTAGTCCAGGCTTCAATGATGTGGTGAAGCATATATTGCGAGAAAAGGAACGTCCATGCTATAATGAGGTGTGTGCTCAACTTCATAAGGAGATAGGCTCAGATGGTCTCTTTGGTGGTGGAAAGGGAGTTGTCCATGGCACACAAGTCTGAGAAAGTGGAAAATGCATATTCTAACAAAGCTTACTTCAAACCAAGGGGAGGAAGAGAGAAGTCAGTTACTTGTAAGCATTGCAAGAATCAAGGACACTCTAAGACCAACTTCTGGATTCTCCACCCTCATCTCAGACCAGCCTCAGCAAATAAGTATGGTCAGACCAAAGCCCAAGAAGCAAGAGCTCAGGAGTACTCAACTCCAAACACCATTCGCATGGGAGATAATGGAAGAGCCTTGATCTATACAATGGCGAATTTCTTGCCAGAAATCAATATCCCGTATGGCATTGACGTGGTGTCTCATAGATTCATCCCCTTCTTGCCTCCTGATAGCCTCTTCAATCTGAACAACACGAGTCTCAAGCTTCCTGGCCTGAGTGCTCAAAGCTCCAATTTTAGTGTCCAATTCCTTGTAAACAGTATCTATTTTCCCATTGAACTCCACCGTCAGCCTTTGCTGTCCTTGAAGAACCTGATCAAGCATAGCTTCGATCTTGCTCTCTTGAGTCTGTGGTGGTGGGTTCTGGTAGAAAGAATTTCCATACCCCTTGTTGTTGCTGTAGTTGCTGTAGGGTTTTTGAAACTGTGGATTCTGGTTAAAGTTTATGTTTCCAAACTGGTTCCCAGACCTCTGAAATCCAGTTCCTCCAATGTAGTTCACATCAGCTAAGTCTGAATCCTCATCATCTACACCTTCTACTGAGCAAACTTGCCTCTTAAATAGCTGATTGACATTCTCCAGCTGAGCTTTTACTTCATCTAGCTGTTCTTTCCCAAGGAAGGCTACAGATTTCCTCCTTTGAGAATCAGTGTTCTTGATACTGCTGCTGTTTGCTAAGTTCTCAATAAGCCTCACAGCTTCCTCCAGATTCCTAGT